ATCAAAACTAAAAGATTCCACGTATTGTATAGGAACCATACAGATCACAATAATTTGTGTGAACACTTTTCTATTTATACCCAAAAACACATGGCAGAAAAAAAAAATTGGTTTTAACAGTGAAAACCTCTGACTAACTTTGTAGCAAGTTTTTCTCTGAATTTAACTGAATCCTACAAAATCCTCACTCAAAGCTCATAGATAGCTGCTCCTAGAAATGTTGGCAACCCTTTAAAAAATTAAATGGAGTGTTGCTGATATCTGGCCATTATCACCTCTTTCTGCCACTCAGGCTGCTGAATAAGCACTTGTTGAGTGAGAAACACATTTCCCAGTGTTCAGACCACTTCTTAGGAGGAAACAGCCCAAGGACCACTTCCTGGCCTGCACACTCCGGCTTGGTGGTGCCACACAATCCATTTAGAAATAGTGTTTGCACAAACAACTGTTCCTGTAGCCAAATATTTTTAAAATACTTAAAAAAAATCTTTTTAAGAATTCTAATTCTAACCTGTATCAGAAGTGCATTAAAATTCTGCAGATCTTTTTGCATTTTCTATCAGTTCAAGTTTCCCTTGAAAATGCTTAGGAGCTTTTGATAATCTTTTATTCTCCTTTTGAGAGTGAACTTTCTGGCACCAGAAATTTCTAAGGCAATTGCATGGCACTTCAATACTGACCACATAGGAATTAGGTAAGAGGCAGATAATAGAAGCATAAGGGAAGCGTAGAGATCCAAGGTGGTAAATGTTAAAGGACCCCTGATTCTCTCCTAGTCCCACCCTCACCTCCATTGAAGGCCCAAGCACTTTGCACATTCTTCTCACAGCCTCCATAATAAACAGTGACATTTCTGTGCCTGTGGAAGCCCTTAATACCCTTCTGTGGGGTTTCATTTTTAGATCGATGCACACAAGCTTTAAGTCATCCTCATCAAATTCTATAATTCAAAAAGCCTTCCTTCCCTTTCTCTGTTTTCCTTCCTTCCTTCCTTCCTTCCTTCCTTCCTTCTTCCTTCCTTCCCTTTCTCTGTTTTCCTTCCTTCCTTCCTTCCCTCCCTCCTTCTTTCCTTCCTTCCTTTCTCCCTCCATTTCTTTCTTTCTTTCTTTCTTTCTTTCTTTCTTTCTTTCTTTCTTTCTTTCTTTCTTTCTTTCTTTCTTTTTCTTTCTTTCCCTCCCTCCCTCCCTCCCTCCCTCCTTCCTTCTTTCCTTCGTTCCTTCCTTCCTTCCTTCCTTCCTTCCTTTTTTTCTTTTTTTTTCTTTTTCTGAGACAGGGCCTGGCTCTGTCACCTAGGCTGGAGTGCAGCAGTGCAGTCACAGCTCACTACAGCCTCAGCCTACCAGGCTCAAGTGATCCTTCCACCTCAGCCTCCTGAGTAGCTGGGATTACAGATACACAGCACATCAGCTGGCTACTTTTTTTTAAGTTTTGTAGAGACAGAGTCTCTCTGTGTTGCCAGGGCTGGTCTTGAACTCCCGGGCTTCAGGGATCCTCCTGCCTTGGCCTCCCAAAATGCTGGGATTACAAGTGTGAGCCACCACACTCAGACCAAAAAGCCTTTCTTAGAATCTTAATTTTTGTTTTTCCTCCTAAGGACCAGGTCAGTATTCTCTTCAGTTACCTCAGCCTTTTCCTCATCCTCCTTCTCTTTTTTACTTCTGGAAAGGGGCAAGTTTATCCCCATGGGCTTTTGTGCCCCCACCGCTGACCTTGTGTATGGGTCTATTCTCCAGCCCCGGCCCTTTCCCTGAAACAAATGAAAGCGAAGATTTACCAGAGTATATCGCAGGCCCGGGCTTTTGCAGACATTACCTCATCTCTTTTCCATGACTCCCTGAGACAGGTTCCATCATCGCCCCAATTTCACATACTGGGAAATAAAGAGTTAAGTGGCTAGCCCAAGGATACCCATCTACGAAGCAGAGGAAATCAAATTTAAATCTAGATAGTCTGATTCTAGAGCATGTACTCTCAAGTCCCACACAACGCTGCTGCCCCAAAGCCATCACACCATGTGCATATGATTGTATCGGGTACCTTCACATAAAACACATGATCAGCAGGCTTTGCTGTGCTTTCCTGGAAACTCACCCAAGTGGTCATCTCCAACACACATCCTGTGAGCACCTCTCAAGGTGCTTGCTACTCTAGGTGATAAAAGTGACAGGGGAAGCTCTCTGTGGGTGGCACATGGCGCTGGCATAGCCTTACATGGAGTCTCACAGGGCTAATGGAATTTCCATTTGGGGCAATGTGGTAGATTGCATTACATGAAACCCTCCTGCTATGAAACACCTGGAAAAGCAGTATAAACTCAAACCAGCATCCCTTTAAATGTCCCAACTGAGCTCAAAAGAAAGAAAAGAAAATTCCAGGGGCCAAAAATGAAATGGAAACTAAAACCAGAGAATAACCTGCAAACTGAAGCTGGGGCCACCTGGGGGTATTTGACGATCTCACAAACCAAGGAGTTTGGGATTTGATGGTTAGTCTGGGACAGAAGGAAAAATTGATATCCCATGGAAAGTAGCTACGCTTAGTGAAAGGGGAAAAGGGGGGAAAGACCCTCTTCCCCTAAAAGACCAAAGGAAATGACAGGGAAGCTTGTAGTCTTTGGAGTGAGCTCTAAGTGGGGGGAAAGTTTTGAAATTCCAGGACTGCCTTCACCAGCTTTGGGGCTCAGAGCTGCACTCCCTCTATGGCGCTGAAGACCTGTGAGTGTTAAATTAGCATAGAAATAGCTCTTAGGTGTTCCTAAAATTCTAGCAAAAGCAGGACCAGAAAGAAGCCCTCAAACTTGGAGATCCAGGATTCCCATGTTTTAAATGCCATGTAAGTCGAATTAAAAATCCAAGATATTTTAAAACCCCAAACACATGAGCCAATGCCAGCAGGCCTATCGATAGAAGATATAAACCCTCCCCAAATTCAGATTTGGCTAGGGGCTATAAAATCAGAACGTTTAAGGTGATTAAGGTAAGAAAGAAATAATAAGAGACAAAGAAACCATAGAAAAGGCAGCATATTTTTACTTAACAGAACTTTGAGAATAAACAAACTAGTAATTAAGATTAAAAATGCAAGGGCAGCTGGAAAGAGAATCAGTAAGGCCATTAATCCAGTACTGGCTGATGCCTCAGACATACAGAAATGAGAAAAAATCCAGAAGGCAGCACAGAGAAGCAATAAGAAGCCCCCAGGAAGCAATCTTGGGTTTTCCACCAGAAAAAATGGACAAGAGGAGCTCTTTGTGCACTGGAGCTGCGATGTCAGTAAATATTTTCTAGAAAGGGCCAGCTAATGATCATTTTCAGGTTGGCAGCCATGCGTCTCTGTCACAGAGTCTGCATTTTTAACAACTCTTTAAAAATGTAAATATTTTCCTTGGCTCACAGGCTGTACACAAACAGGCTTTGGGTGGGATTTGGCCTGAGGGTTTTAGTTTGTGAGTCCCTGTGCTAAACCCTAAGACTGTAGCTGTTCATGGGCATGTTCTATTGCATGAGGATAATCTGCCTGGGAATGGAATCATTCAAAGGAGGCTCTGCCCGGAGGAGGATGAAGAGAACACAGATTCCCAAGGACACGGTTTGAGTGTCTGGACCCACTGAGCACAAAGACCTAATTTTTAGTTATGTGAACCAATAAATGTTCTTTTATCAAAAGCCAGTTTGTCTTGGTTTTATGCTACTTATGAACAAAAGAACAACTGGAAAATTTAGCAATGTGCTTGAATTTCTAAATCCTGTATGTGTGACAGTCTGCCTTCTTCAATATCATCTAAATTGCAATTACTATTATTCAGGAATTACTGAAATGATTACATCCAGATAGATGTAATAATTTTTTACAGTCAGTTGCTATGTGGAGGAGAAAAATAGACGAAAGAAAAACGATATTTTTGTGTGTGTCAGGCATTGCACTGACTGTCTTAGATGTTGTCCCACTGAATAGACACAGCTCCTTTGTGAAGTATGCATTAACTCTTTTTTCCAGGTAAGAAAACTTGATTATGAGAAGTAAAGTAACTGGTCTAAGGCCACACTCAGAGAGAGGCACTGTGGCAGAGATCTTGTGGCTTACAAAGCCCAAGCTATCTGCTGTCTCACCCTTTACAGAAAAAGTTTGCTGGTCCTGCTCTGGACAGAAGGAGATATTATTATCTTAACTGCTGGCTGAGATTGTTCTCAAGAGGGAAACTGTCTTTCGTTAGGAAAATACTTTGCTAAATATTTGGGCTAGAGATACCTGAAAATGCCAGTATTTGGAGGAGCCCTAGCAGGAAGGGAAAGATGTACCATTTTACACGAGAAAATAAGAGGAATACTGGATATTGGGTCCTGCACAAAAAGTGGGGAGGAGGAGGGGGGAGGGGCAAGCAAGGAGGGTGGCAGAAAAGAATTGGAGAGAAAGAGGCTGGAAAGTTTTCAAGAAGTAGGAATGTAACATGAGGCTTACAGGAAAATCTAGTACCAGGTTTTAAGCTATTTGCTTTGTGGTATATCACCCTTCCCAGGATCCCCCGGCCTTCGGTAAAATGGCTCATTTTCCCGGTTGGTTTTGGGATAGTGAGTCAAAGAGAAGTTACGTGAGGGTCCAGCATCAGAGCTAAATGGAAAGAAGTAGCTCTAAGACAGAGAGAACAAATTTTGACCATGTTCAGATAGGAGGATAGGATTAACCATAAGGCCGTAAACCAAAAGAACTTCCCCCAGAATTTGGAGACCCCTTGCAAAGTGCTTTAGGTTTCCCTGATCCGTGAAATTAGGATCTGAACTAATCTCCCTTAGGGCTTAAGGGCCAGGAGACCTTATCTGATAGCAGAGTCAGGCACTTATTCTACAGGGATTGAATCAGGCATTCTCCCTGCCTCTGGGAGCTCACACCCTATGGGAAAAGAGATCTCAGAACAAATGTGTAACAACTGCTCTGACAGAAAGATGAACAAGGAAAGCACAAAGAACAAAATGGTTGACTCTGCCTGGGGTGTCAGAGAGGACTTCTCGTAGGAAGTGATGTTTGAGCCAGGCTTTGAGAGATGAGAAGGAGGTAATCACTCAGATAGGAGAAGGGAGAATCTTCCAGCCAGAGGGAAGAGGAGGTGCACAAATGTGAAGCCAGAAAGAGGATGTCAGGAAACAGAAGGCTCCCTGCAAGATGAGAATGAGAAGGGGGAGAAGGGGGTCAGGCCCATGAGGTTTCATCCTTCCTTTTTTCCTCCCTGACACACATTGCACAAGGAAGGCAATCAATGAGACTTGCTCTCAGATTGGTTAGCACATCTATTATTTAATAAGAATTGGGGTTTGATCGGATGGCCCCTTTCTTTTCTTGTTGCTCTTTGGAGCATTTACTGTTCCGTGGCCTTACAGCTGCTCTTCTTACTGTGAACACATCTTGACTGAACATCATGATATGCATTAAGGAGTCAGGGAGGCTTAACTGATTGTACTGCCAAGGGAAGCAACAGCTTGTATTAAGAAAAGCACAGCCTTGAGTTTAAATGCTGCTTCTGCCACTTCTTAGTGAACAACAATTTATTTAACCACTCTGAGCCTCAGTTTCCCTCTCAGCAAGAAAGAGACTGGGTACTGTGGCTCACACCTGTAGTCCCAGCCCTTGGGGGGGCTGAGATGGAAGGATCACTTCAGCCCAGGAGTTCAAGACCAGACTGAGCAACATAAGGAGGCCCCATCTCTACAAAGAATTTAAAAATTACCCAGGAGTGGTTGCACATGCCTCTGGTCCCAGCTACTCGGGAGGCTGAGATGGGAGGATCACTTAAACCTGGGAGGTTGAGGCTGCAGTGAGCTGTGATCATGCAACTGTGCTCCATCCTGGGCGACAGAGTGAGATCCTGTCTCAAAAAGAAAAGAAAAGGGTAGATAATAGTATCTATGTGGCAGAACTGCAGTGAGGAGTAAATGATAGGAGAGCCCAGTGGCTGTCACCTAATAGGTATTCAGTAAATACGAGTTCCCTATTTTCCAGTTAGATGAGACTTATTTTGTACCTGATTTTTCAACGATTGTTTAGAGTTGTGATGTTCGATATGATGGATAGCCACTAGCCACGTGCAGCTATTGAGCACTTGAAATGTGCCTAATCTGAATTAGAATGTGCTGTATGTATAAAATATATAGCAGGTTTCAAAGACGTAGGATGAACTAAAGAATGTAAAATATCCCATTAATAAATTTTTACATTAATGGCCCATTGACATGGTATTAATTTGGATATATTGGGTTAAATAAAACATATTCTTAAAATAATCTTGCTTGTTTCTTTTTCATTTTAACATGGCTACTAGAAAATTTAAAATTCATTTGTGGGTTGCATTATGTAGATATTGGACAATTGCTACTTGTAAAGGAAAGGTGGAATGAAATTTCAAGGCCTCTCTAAAGCCCAGGTGACCAATAAAATATTTATATTTTTTCAATTTTTGCTATAAAGATCTAGTCGCCTAAAATTCAATGGAATTTGGAAGTAGGATGAGGCGTTTCGTCAGTGGGAATTAGGTTAAATGAACTTTGACGGGGGAAAAAATGCAGTTGTCAACGTTTACTGTGGCTGCATTTTCACCACCAGCTGAATACCTTGTCCTCTAATGTTACACACAAGTGTGAAGGTTAAGAGCTGTCTCTCTAACTCATTTCTGCTGGCCAGGATCCTGAAGCCACATGCTACACTGCCTGTCTCTCCTGGATTGCACAGTGAAATTGTTTTCTCTTTATGTATGACAGAGCCTTCACTTCTTGAACTCCTCATCCTTCTCAGAAACCACACAGGGATGTCCTTGGGCTGCAGAGGAGTTTCTTTCAAATACTTTAAACCACCGGTAGATCTGGGTTTGACATTAAAACCATTTAAATACACATAGGCGCATGCAGAAACCCAGCACAGGGCGGGCTGGGGGGTGAGCGGTGGTGGGGTATGGTCTCTCTCAAAAAAGTCCAATGCACTCACTGGCTTCTAGATACAGAAAAAAGCTGAAGCATTTCTTCACACACCATAGTTTCTCTTTCTTGCCATGGTCTGTGGGCCAGTTTGCTGGGGAGGGAGAGGGGTGACTGGGGTTCCCAATAAGCACTTGTGCAGGTGGAGGCAGAGAGGCAAAGGAGGGTGCAGCCAGCATTCATTACAACACCACATCATCGTCACAGTTTCTGCTTCCTTCTCTTCCAATCCCCAAACCTCTCACCTGGGTTCCAACCCTAACACTCCTCGCAAATGGCTGCCTCTTCCTAAGTACACCATGACCTCCAGGCTGTAAATCCAATAAGTGTTTTTTAGTCACATCACAGGAATGACCCTTAACATCTGGATCCCTTAATCCAGTGCTGACCACAGCAATGGTGTACCATAGCCGTGGGCACTGTCCCCTTTCCTCTCCTTCCTACCCACACCTTGCAACAGGCTTCCTCCTGCCTGGCCTCGCAGCCTTCAGAAATGGCTCATTCAGAGGCACTCAAGGCATACATACTGCCTCATCATAGATATTGTTCAGTTCTCATCTTTACTAACCTCTCAGCAACACACCACTCCTCACATCTTCAAACACTCTCTTCCTTGGCTTTCTAAAGCCATCTGATATGGTTTGGCTGTGTCCCCACCCAAATCTCATCTTGAATTATAACTCCCACAATTCCTACATTTTGTGGGAGGAACCCAGTGGGAGGTGATTGAATCATGGGGGTGGGTCTTTCCTGGACTGTTCTTGTGATAGTGAATGAGTTTCACGAGATTGGATGGTTTTAAAAACGGGAGTTTTTCTGCACAAACCCTCTTCTCTTGTCTGTTGCCATGTGAGACACCTTCTGCCATGATAGTGAGGTCTCCTCAGCCACGTGGAACTGTAAATCCAATCTCTTTCTTTTGTAAATTGCCCAGTCTCGGGTATGTCTTTATCAGCAGCATGAGAACAGGTGAATACACCATCCTTATCTGGTTCCTCCTATGGCTTTGCACCTTCCCTTTCTATCTCCTTTGCAGGTTCAATTTCTTTCTCCTGACTATGAAATGTTAGATTCCTAAGACTTGGTCATAAGTCCCTTCTCTTCATCTATTCTAATACTTTCTCCCTCGACATTCAGGAATTATTATTACCAGGATATCAATATTCAGGATTTTGACATCTGACAATTGATAGTTTTCAGATTTCTGTCCTCAGCGCAGAATGTCATTCTGAGCTCTAAACCTATACATTTAACCTTCTACTTGACATCTCAACATGCATGTCTCAAAGACCTTCAAAGTCAACTGAACAAACCTAAACTCCGAAGCCTGATTCTCATTAAGTGTTTTATCATTCAGGGGATGATAGTTCATCTCTTGCATGAACCAGCAATCAAAGAGTTCCTTTGAAATCTCCCTTTCCTTCACCTTCCATCTCATCTGTTATATCACCAAGCCCCAGTGACCTCATATGCCAATAATCTCTCAGATCCAAGGAGTTCTTTTTACCCTCCCTGCCAACCCCCAAGCCAAAGGTACCACCATTTCTTGCTTGGACTGCCTCAGTAGCCTCCTGTCTTCTTTTTCTCTCACTCCCCTCCAAACATAGCCACCAGAGTAATGTGAGATTTTACTTCCCAGACCTGTTGAGTCTTCCCTAACCTAGTTCCCTTCTAAATTGTGAAAGACATAGCCCATCAGGGATGTGGCTTGGAAGGTCCATGCCTGCTAAGAGCACTAATATTTTGTATGAGTTCATAGAAGGAGAAAGTTACTTCCAGCAAGTGGGCCAGGACAGGCTTCACTGAAGAGGGATGTTTGACTCTGGATGGTTTGTACCTGCCATGTGAAATACCAATGCTATGGGAAGAAGCCAAAGTGGGAGGATTGCTTGAGACCAGGAGCTTGAGACCAGACTGGGCAACAAGCAAGACCCATCTCTACAAAAAAATGTTTTAAATAGTAGTTATAGTGGCACACACCTGTAGTCTCAGCAACTTGGGAAATTTAAGGTGGAAGGCCACTGTACTCTAGCCTGGAGTGATAGAGCAAAACCCTGTCTCTTCAAAACAACACAAAACAAAACACCCCATCATTTTAGGAAATGAGAACATGAACAAAAGCAGAGAGGTAATAAAAGACAGGTATTGGTTCACCAATTCATTTAACAGTTAATTATAGAGCATTTGTTATGAGTGAGACACTGTTACAGGTGCTGGGAATGCATTGATGAATAAAACAGACATGGGTCTCATAGAACTTACAGTTGAGAGGTGCAGTGTGGGGAGTGTGTTGGATACCAAAGAACATGAAGGGAATCGTGGGGCATTTTGCTGCAGAAATAAGTGAAGGCCAGATCAAGAAAGTGACTTGAACAGGTAACAGGAGTTTTTGATTTTTATAAAATCAAGACTGATAAAGTCAATGCCTTGAGGGGACAGTTGGAAAATGTAAATTAGGGGAGTGGGCTGCGTGCGAGGTAAGAAAAAGTGGGGATTTGGGCAAACTAGAAATCTCAACCCCTATTCAAGGAGTGAGTGATTACCCAGCTGCAGCTAATTACTGCCATTCGGAAATGTGGATCCAGAACCTCTGCTACTGAAGGAAAGAAATCCAAGCTTTTAGAGCAACCTTTGGTTTGCTAAATTTTGATGAGTAATTCGATTCTTTTTTTTTTTTAAATGCCATGAAAATATCAAACTATGACTTTGGGTTGAATTCAGCTTGCAGGACAGCAGTTTATGAGCTCATTGAAGGCTCTTTGTCTTAGTCCATTTGGCTGCTATAACAAAATACCTTGTACTGAGTGGCTTATATATAATATAAACTTATTGCTCAAAGTTCTGGAGGCTGAGAAGTCCAAGATCAAGGTGCTAGGAGATTTCTGTCTGGTTGGGGCCTATTCCTTATGGATAGCGCCTTCTATGTGTCTTCATGTGGCAGAAGGGGCAAACAAGCTCCCTCAGCTTTCTTTTATAAGGCAATAATCCCATCATGAGAGCGCTGACCTTATGACTTAATCATTTCCCTAAAAGCCCCGCCTTAGAATATTATCGCATTAACGATTAGGTTTCAACGTATACATTTTTCAGGGATGCCATTATTCAAACCACAGCATATTATGTGTAAAATGTGTTGAAGATGAAAACTCTTCTGGCAGAAACCCCACTAGAAGTGGCCTAGGAGACACAGAATGAGAATCTGGATTAGAATTCAGGCGACAAAAAAGGAGATGGGCCTCCTCCAACAAATATTTTCCTATTGTTTTTTTGAGATGGAGTCTCACTCTGTCACGCAGGCTGGAGTGCAGTGGTGCGATCTTAGCTCACTGCAACCTCTGCCTTCCAGGTTCAAACCATTCTCCTGACTCAGCTTCCCGGGTAGCTGGGATTACAGGTGTCCACTACCATCCCTGGCTAATTATTGTGTTTTTAGTAGAGACAGGGTTTTGCCATGTTGGTCAGACTGGTCTCAAACTCCTGACCTCAGGTGATTCGCAGTGCCCTCACAGTGCTGGGATTACAGGTGTGAACCATCCACCGGCCGCCTCTATTTTCTTAGTAACTGAACTGCAATGAGCCAGGCT